GTGCAGTAGCAGGTGCGAAAGTGTCAGTAATCCGTCGAGGCGGCATCTATCGGCGGTTTTTTCCCCAACCATTCATTTACAGGGTGGCCGAAAAGTATGGGCGCCACATATTTAATAACAAAATTTTACATTAAAGAGAAGGTCTTTTTAGAATTTTGTTGCATCCCAAAAACAGAGGCATCCCAATGTACTTCTAAAAAGTTGGGTTTCTGCACAATGCACACAGACTTCAGCAGCTTATCTTGGAGCTAATGCGTCAAAAATGCTGTGTGAAAAATGTACCCGTTGCGAACCCGGGGCGATAATCCGCTCATGGATCAAATAGTTTTCACGGTATGAGGTTTTGTAAAGCATAGTCAGAGGAGTAACACAGTGCCGTAAGCAGCAATTTATCATCACCAAAACAAAATACGGCACTGTGAACATGGGGTTGATTAACCACGCCGCAGCGCCTTTCAAGTCAAAGCAGCCGTCTGCCTCAAAAAAATCAGTTCGCGCGATACTCATTTATAATAATTTAGAGTATGTATAATCTCTATATAATATAAAGCAGAAAGTCTGTGACTGCGTTTGTGTGTTGGGCCCATTCGGGTGCAGGTTGTGCAGGTTGTGCAGGTTGTGCAGGTTGTGCAGGTTGTGCAGGTTGTGCAGATTGTGCAGGTTGTGCAGGTGTGCAGGGTATGCAGGGTGTACAGGGTGTGCAGGGTGTGCAGGGTGGGGAGGGGATAAGTGAACATGCTGATTCGAATACATTATTGACAGGACCGGGCGGAGCCGGGTTTGCCAGCTCGTTTATGTATAAAATGATTGTCAATTTATTGGTAATCTAAAAGCACGCTGATCCTTACAAGAAGGAATTTTTTATTACCAAGATTTGGGTACTGTGACTATCAGGCAACTAAGATTTGTACAAGGCACGGCACGTCCAACTCTAATGCAAATATATTGTCTTTGTGTGTGCACTATTTGTACAGGAGTACATACCACTTGAGATTAAAGTTTGTCGATTTGCATTTTTGAGAGAGCGGGTGTGATTAGATGAATTAGTCACACCATCCCAATAAATCCCACAATATTGGCTGCCTCAAATTCGTCTTTCATTCTGCAGCTCTAAATAGGGAATCCGTTGCTGTACAAAGATATTCTTCGCTTCTTCGTGCCAGCTCCCTGCCCCGTAGGTGAACTCTGCAAAGAAATCGATAAAACTCGAAAATCGATATCGATCGATAACGAAAAGTAGTCTGTGGTACGCTCCCTGCCCCGAAGTTTATGTGTGCCAAGTTTGGTCCAACTCGGTCTAGAAATAAAATTTCTGTTCCGCACAACAGACATACATACATACATACATACAAAACAGACATTCAACTTTACAGGGTGGGGCAAAAGTCTGGGAGCCTAGTACTTTTTCAGATAAAATCAGAAAGAAAATGCCTAGGAACAAAAAATTTGGTGCACACATAAATCGAACCTTTACAAGTACAGCGCTGCTTTTAAATTTTGAGATTGTCTCATCTGGCTTCAAAGCAGCCCTTCGAAATCTTGGCGAGTCTGCCTGTTCTGGCACGCAGACAGTCATGATGAAATTCGTCCCACGCCTTTACGGTAACTGTTTCTTTCTCCGTGCAAATGTGCGGTGTGATAGAGCAAGCTTTTAGCTACAATGTATTGCGAAGAAATTTTTTTTGCAATGTCAGGAAAAAATTTTGGAATTTTAATTGGAGGCAAGTGTACAAGGTATACTGGAAATCTGGATGCGATTGCGCGAACGGGAGCGAAAAATCGTAATCTGAAAAGTGTTGAAATTGCTTGATCGATCGAACTCAAGTACATGCTTGCATAGAAGATCCAAGAAAAGAGTGTAGCCTAAAATTTGGTGCTTGCTGTGCTCCTATAGCTTTCAAATTCATTTTAAAGAAAAATGGCCACTGGCACGCAGGTAGTATTCGCAAATTTTTATTTTACGTTTTCGAAAGAATAGTATCTGGCAAACGCAATGACAACGAATCGATAACGCAAGGTCTCCTCTACATTGTATGCATCAAAGCTCTTTAGAATATACACTGTATCTTTAGCTACAAAGTAAGTTGTGAAGACCAAAATTTTCGATTTTCTAGCATTGCAGAGCACTTTTTTGATAAAGCCAACTCATACAAAAACATATGGTAAGCCTTTTCAGCCAGCCAAAGTGCGATTTGTAGAAGATGATTGCAGCAATATGTGACACAAATTTGGAGTCAAAATCATCAGTAGTTTCTTGATTTACAGCACTACAAAATAGGCTCCCAGACTTTTGCCCCACCCTGTATATATAAGATCGCAACTATAAATACTGTACTGTTAAAAAAAACTTTTTAACACTGAAAGGTTGTAACTCAGAAGGGCTTTTCAGATAAGGTTCGCAACAATTTGAAAATTTCAATCTAAGCGTCTCTGAACGTTGATAAGCGGGTTTTTCGATCATGAAAGTGAACGCAGAACCGAGTTGATGCCGCGGCCTTTCCAGCGCTCAAGTAGAGCAATGTTGACTATGAATATATCAGACAGATGTTATCTTTTGCATGAAATGCTCTGATATTCATTATCGGACATCTGGGCAGGTCTGGACGATTTTTTGCGCGCTTCAATTTTTGAACTCAAAACACTCCCACAACATATCTCTGCTCCACAGCTTGATAGATAATGAAGACAGGTTTAGAGTTGTCGTTAACGCTTCAACTTAATATAGATTTCATAGAAGGTCACTTTGAGCAAAAACATTCTTATAGCTGAGCTCCTAAGGCGCATTTCGCTTGAATTTTCAAGCATAGTCAATTCGGAAGGGCCATATGAGCTAATACTAAACTCGGTTTCTCGCATTAGTAAAAATCGCGATTTCATTTTTCACAGCAGGCTTAACACTAAACTGTTAACCCCGAATAGAATGGTAGTGGCTGTGGCTCTTTCACTTTGAAGGCAGCGTCCAGGCAAAAGGTAAACCTCTCCAACTAATACCTAGTCTGAGTGTAATCTCAACGAGAGGCGCATCTGCATCTGCGTTGAAGCGGTCCTTCAGTGTTGTTTCTAAATGGAGACAGTGGAACTGATACCCACAAAAATGTTACCACGCCATGCCCACCCTATTAAATTCCTCCTACTTAGGCACTGTGAGCTGCTTGTGCCTTCAGGATTGGGCTCTCGGAGAAGGTTGCACATTTTGAATTTTATGACTGTAACCAGGGCCACAAAAAGGCTTCAGAATGACAAAAACATGGAAGGCGAAAATTTGACGCTACTTTTAAATGTGTCAGTCTCGTCTTTATAGCACACTAGCTGGCTTTCCCGGTCCCACCCGAGTCAACGTTCAGGAGGATGAAAGAAAACCATGATTTGCTTCCTCCTTTTCGTCATGATTTGCTTCCTCCGTTTCGTCTTCAACGTTCGCTTCAGCCTCCCACTCCCACGTACTGCCATTTGTGTCCACTATCTTCTGCTTCTGCTTCCTTTCTGCTTTTCTTTACTCTTTTTTCGACCATATTTTCTTCACCTCGAAATGAAATGAGCTTTACTTCCATTTTTTACACCAAAATGTGCCAGGTCATAGCGATTAATGAAGCTTCAATTTCATTTCTGGATGCCAAAATTGATAAATCGCCATAAGGGCTCAGCAAAATCTGATAAGAAGAGCCTAGAACCATTTTCAGGGTCAAAAACATCTGTGTGCAAAGTATAACTTTACCCCGGACAAACTTTGAGTTTTATTTATATAGAGAGATACCGAGATGTATTTGATTTGTCTTGACCGATTGCATCTTTGGTTTTAAAATGATGAGGCTTATCTATTAAACATATCTTCTCGGAGTCCAACACGAGACGGTGTTATCAGCTGTCCATCATAGATCGACAAAATCATCGGCAGCATTGTTATTCATGCCGATCCTATTTGGCATTTTTTCACTGCAAACGTGCGGCAGCTAGCACTTATACCACTAAAATCAATTTCCAACATAAAATCATACAATTTGATTTTTCGTCACCTAGAAGATTCACGATTTCTTTCTAAAAAGAATAGAAATGCTGTGCAATTTACACAACCGGTTCTCTACTGCAGCGAAAGCTTTGCGACTGATGTTCAACCCAAATTAGTATTAACCCGTCTGTTAGGTTTGACTAGTTCTTTTGCAGTCGTGCTACGCGCGGATGTTTGACAAAACGGTGCGAAACCCAAGTCGGCGACCATCTTGTCACTTGCGCTCGCGCATTCACTCGATCTTTATCTACGGTATCTATGGTTTATGCGATCAATTTTGCAACTTGGCTCGCTGACATCCAAAAAGGGGGTCATCATGAGTTTTAAGGATGCAAGAAGTCTTTAGATTTTTTGTGCAAAGTGCTTTTTACTATGTCAGATAAGTCTAGAGCTTTGTGTTTTGTTATTCATCCCGTATTTTCTGTTTGCCCTGTGACTGGGAGGCTAGTTTCATGTGTTGTGCTTTGTTTGAGCTTTCTGTTTGATCTTTTCCCTTTTGATGCACCTTGAGTGTAGTTATAATAAAATAAAAAAACTTTGGGCCTTTGTGAATCTTCTATTCATGCTTCCTTATTCGAGAACGATCGATTCTATGCTTTTTTGCCTTACAAGGAAGGTCGTCTTGCTTTCCCATAGTTATGCTCCCTATGATTCAAGGCCTCTCTAGAAATTTCATTTCCTTTCCCATAGCTATGCCCATCGTACTTTAATTGTCCATTCTTGAATATTATCATCGCTTAATTATGCCCTTCTGTATCGCATGATAATTAATTATATCGAATCTAAAACTGTACGCGGTGTGTATAGATATAACTTAACCATTCTCATTTTGCAAAAACTTTTGTTATCAAGTCTCATATCATATTCGAATGTAGGACTGCCCGTCCCTTCTATAACATCAGTTGCCCATCTCAAAACCTCATTTTCCTCTCTATTCCTTAAATATCAATTCTGATATTATTCAAAAACAGATGCGCAATTATTCCGTATTTAGAATGCTTATATTCGTTTTACTGCTCATCGGAGTTGCTTTTGTACAAAGCGCTAATATCACACGAATCAAAGCCCATCATATCCCACTCGAACAACGCACAGATGAAGGTAGGTCATTGTACAATAGCTGATCTCATTTTGTGGTCTTCCATTCGATAGTTTTAAGCTCATAAAGGTCGGTAAAGATCAAAACTCAGTTTCAAAATAACATTGGAATGACATTTCGGGTAGACCAATTTGGAAACTGCTGTGCTGTCAGTGACCCACTTGCAAGAAGCTATGCGCCACCAATTGAAAAAGGTGGTTCGCCTTTCTTCAGAGTTTTTTGTTGGGAATTGCCGTAAAATATTCTGCCCAATCTATTCTGAAAAACATTGATGATAAAAGAGTGAAAATTATGTACATTGTTTTTATCCTTAATCCCTCGTTTGCTTCATTCGCCTTTCTTTGATTTACGGTAGAGCTGGCTCCAGCATACATCTGCAATATGGAGGGAATCGAAAATCGCTCTCTATTACCGTAACATTGAGATAGAAAATTTCAGCCTACAGCGTTAATCTACAAGATCTTCCAAATATGAAAATTTTTATAAGGTTTTCACATATGCTTACTTCATCATTCAATTCTCAAAGCTTTGAGTTTTTCAAATGGTGTATTCACATTTCTGAAAAGCTTTAAAGAAGCAGATGTTATATTATGTACGTTATGGTAAAGTGCAATATTCATATTTAGAGTCAGCGACCCTCTAGGAGATATAAATTTGGATTATAGTATGATCCATTTCCTTCTCCTTTTTGAGGCAAATTATCGCACTCGATAGCTCTAAACCTCTCAAGAGATTCCAGCCGTGTTCTTAAAATAATAAAGAATTCGCATAACTTGAGATAAAATAATCGATTCCCTTCACCTGCAATCCACAAATCTAAGTAGTCAATCCATGTAAAGTTCATAATTCTCTGTGTTGGAACCGCTTTGTCCTATCCAGGAATTGCATTTTTGAGTGGTTATCCTGAATAAATGCCTTTTCAATAAAATTTTGTATGGTAGCTATTTTGATTGCTCGCTAGTTTATTCACCATGTTCCCTTCGGTATGGACATAAAGTTTTTTGTTCCACATATAATTGTAATAGCAGGTGCTCTGTTACCTAGGCTTAAGAATTTTCTTTCCCCTGGGAAACTGGAGCTTTTCCTTTCGATTCATGACAGATAGTTCAGTTCATGATAATTATTATTCTAAAAAGAAGATTTTCTCATGCGAGAGCGTAGGAGAGTTTGAGATGTTTATTGTTCATTGATACACACGACGCACCGATCAAAAACAAAGAAAAGAAAAGAAAGCAGTTTGCAGCATCATATGCTCAATTTATCTCTTAGAATCTTGATTTGAAACACCCACCAAAAGCTGGGGAAGCTTCAAAACCTTTTTGTTAGCTTTACTATCACGCAAGATAATGACTTTTTTATCCAGAGGAAGAGAAATGGCGAATTCAAGCCGTAGAAAAATTATGGAAGGAGCGGGAAGAAATGGGACATACGCCCTTGATTAAATTTCAGGCAAGTAATTAAGCTTCGATGAGAATAGTCCGCACTGAAATTGCCCTTTTCTAGCCGAAAGGACTCCCTAACGTAGATATCTTTCTCAAAAATGAAACAGCTACTCCATCACAAACACTCAAACATCGATTTGCATGGGCGCTGCTTATGTGGTCCATAGTTGACGGAAAAGTGAGTTAATTTTGGCTTCGCATTTGAAATCATATTCTAGTTCGAAAAATCATATACTGTGGCAGACGATTTCGTTATTTCGCAGCCTTTGAGAAGGAGTGAGAGAAAAAAGACCTTGATGTTACACATACTGGTAAAAGGTTATCAAATTCGGCGGCCCAACCCAAAGAAGATATGAATCATGCATTCAAGTACCATTTGAGAAACATTTCGCACATTTTGAGAGAACTCTCGTAGACAGTCTGCAAAACTTCAAAAAACTCATTTCTATATAGAGGCTTCTTTTGTAGATGCGCATAACAAACTTTACGATGAGAAAAAATGACGATAATATGTAGAAAATTTGCGGGATCTGCGGAAAGATGCTCGCTGAGGGTCACATTCGGAAATTTGGCATAAGTTCTATAAAATAGATGTCAAGCATGTCAAACTTTTCTCTTACAATTTGTTTTAGTCTAAGACAGTCGCGAGCTTGAGAAGTAAGAAAAGATTGCTTTTATTTCATAAATGCATCACTTCCATCATTAATGCTTTCACATGTAAGTGTTGGGTTGGAAATAGAAGAATCTTGTTCTCAATAGCAAAGCAACAAGCCGAATCCAAAAATATATGTGAATGGGTATCTTTGGGGAGAGCAAAAGAAACTCTACAAAATGATCGTTGAGCATTGGCAGTTTCCACCCAAGAACCTCTTGTTTGTTCCTGCATGTAACACACGTATGCGCTTATCCGCAGCTTGCTTGCTATATTTTTCATGCTTGGGAATCAAGAATTCAAAAATGGAAAATGGCAAACTCCGCCCTTGGCAGTCCTGGCCTCGCCCCATATATGCCCGAAATATAGCCGAAAAAGCAACATTCTTTCCTTTCCAACCTATTATTGTCAAAAGACTGGTATGAATATTCGGGAACTGAAATACTATAGAGAGTAGAAAATAAATTTTTCAAATAATGTCTCACTGATTTAGGTAAACAGCAAATCTACGGTCTATGATTCTACCTCAGGCAACACTGGTGCTAGTGAAGCGTACATGTGCACATTGGTTGGACTACCATTCATTGCAGTAGTAAGTGTTGTTTTTTGACCTTACGGATGATTGATATGAAGGAAAATATCTTCAGGTAGCCAATGAACTCGAACAGACAAAAATAGATCAGATTACAAGCCATGGCGGTAAAATTATGAAGGTTGTATAAAAATGATCCTTTCAGCTTGGATGATGAAGTTGATCTAGGTAGAAGTATCCCTGCGAAACTTCCACGCACAAGATGAAGCTGAGAAAAACAATGGCTTCTTCCTTAATCAGTTTGGAAACGCTGAATATGCTGAGGAATTCCATGAAAGTGAGTGAGATACTCAATGCACTATTAACGGATGTATTATACTATCATCTAGTGAACAATATATGAGCATCGTGACTTCTAGGTGGAAACTATAGCCATGAAAGCACCAATGTTTTCCATGAGATTCTCGCCCAGTTGCAGGAGGACGATCATCAAGAGAAGAAGATTCCCGACTATTTTGTACACAGTGCGGGAACGGGTAAGTTGGATATAATTTATGTCTGCCTCGCTCACTTTTATGCCGCTGTTACTAATCTGAATTTATAGGCGGCACAATCTCTTCGGTCGGGCGATATGTAAAACGATATAATCTTCCCACAAGGATTGTTCTCTCCGATTCCGAATATTCGCTTTTCCACGATTATGTGATTCACAACAGGTAGTTCCAAAATGCTTTGCTTGCTCCAAAAAACATTACTCTGGCTGCAGATTCACAAACGAGTCAGGCACGAAACTATGGAAACCACCAGGCATTGCTGGCATCGGCTACGGTTACAATGTAAAGCCTGTGATTTATGGGGAGACCACAAGGTAAACATGGAACATCGATGCACGGACGTTGTGGCTATTCAAACCAACCTGAGAGATTAGACTATTTTAGTCTTACACCGAGCGTCGTGGACGAGTCGATGAAAATACCAGATATCGCCTCGACAGCAGCGATGTACGTGCTCAGGGGCAGAGGCATCGGTGGTGGAGCATCGACGGGCTTGAACTTCCTTGTGTCGCTTTATAAAGCAATTCAAGAAAAGTGAGCTCTGAAGGTTGTACGCGGTCAATCGTTATCTTTTTATCCAGAGACGCTCACAAAAATAATGGCCGTTTGACGATTGTCACAATCATCTGCGATCCAGGAGAGTATTATGAGACTACCTATTTCAACCCAAAATGGATTGATAAAATGTTTGCTGACGAAGGTGGATTCAAGGGTCTCAAGTGTTGGGAGGATGTGAGCTTATTTTGTTTCTACCATTGCATACACTGCTATAAACTATCTACAGGTAGTTTATGCGCAATAATTCAGAAAACGTTCACTAGATCTATTGTATTCCAATAAATGCTGACAACTCATACTAGCAGATGCTGCTGAAATGCATGAATCCCGAGACCAGCTTGACAAAGATGTTTGAGCAAATGAAAAAAAAAATGTTTTGAGCCACAGCCGCGAAGGTGTTTGAAATTAAAAAAAACGTTTTTAACCACAGCCGCTATCTTTTTGCTTGATGCCCCTTTCCGATTCATGGCTACGGGTTTGGCTCAGCATGGATTAAATTTTTCCTGATTGGTTCCTCAGACTATATGGGATTTGGGGGGAGAAGGGACTCAACTTCCCCTAAAATATGGTTCACACAATGATAATGTTTATGAATATTATGATAATCTATAAATATTAAGGTCTTTTCTCATGTTAATGCAAAGCTTCAATCCTTCCTCTTTCAGGTTATCAACAAGGCCATTGACACTGGATCCGACTTCCTGGAAGAAGGTCTCACCCAATGTCCCGATGGTAAGCGGTTCAAGCGTTCGGTCTTTTCCATGATTGGAAAATAGGATTGTATATAATTTTCATTTGTTTTACTTCACATTATATGTCTGTTCAAGAGAAACATTATTAACTCTTCTAGATAGATTTATGATAGTCTGGAATTGAGCATAATCTTAGTTTTTGAGCTATAAGTGAGCAGATCTAGTAGGATTTCACTAATTTTCAGTGTGAATGATTCTGTGTTGTAATGCTTTTGTAAATAAAAATTTATATTTACGCAATACCAGCAACCCCTCGTACAAACGCTCCTTTTGGCAGATTAGCGGCCGAAGTAGGATCGCTTTCGTCACCGGCGAGCTGGAAACAAGGAGTATTCAATGAATACTAAATGTTTATGTGTCTATTCTAACAATGGTTGAGAAGATTGGTAAATCAACGTCACCTTGCGGCGGACGCTGATTTTCCTTTCTTCATGTTGCCCGTCTACGACTATGATGCCACACAAGATGATGTCGTCCTCTGGTCTTGGATAAACATACCTGAGGAGATGAGAGGTGTTTTCAGGTGGTAACTGATAGTAATGATGCAATAACACCCTGATCCTAACAAGATATGATCGTCTACGAAAAGTCTTATCCAGGTATTGGTCATACTTCGCGCGATTCCGTCGCTGTCGACGGATTTGGAAAGTCGCCGGGCTCTACACATCCAGGAGCGCATGTGATGAATAATAAATGTTCGGAAGCCTAAGGGGCTATTCCAAACGAGCTGTACCATCAGACGCAGAATAGAACGCTTACTCTAAAGCTGTCTTCCGTATCTGCTGAGTGCCTCTATAGATGAAGTTATGAGCAGTCCTACTTTGTCTGCAAGGAAGTCGTGCAAGTCCCACAAAAAATTTCTTCTCAATTCAATAGGCATGATTTCATAAATCAATCTACCGGCACTTTTTGCCGTGCATTTTGCCCAGCATGGTTGTATATTCAAAATTCGCACTTTTCGTACTCGATTTCTTTGCAGTATACTCATAATTACGCCTATAGAGGAGATTCAGTATAATGGCTTATGACTGCGCCTTCAAAGCAATCAGTAGACAATGTAAATGGAACAACGTTCTATGTTGCATCCATTGGTTTGCAGCTTATTGGAAAGGCATCCGAGCATTCCCCTGTTAGAGAAGAAATTATCGACATCTGTATAACAATGTCAGTTCACACGCGAGCGCAATCGTGCTAAGTATGGCCAATGCCTTACAAAGAAAGGATACTTGGTGACCCTGGCCATTTGGAATGCGATGTATACCATAAGGTGCACCTCGAAACGCTGATCCTAAATCTGTGCTCGAAATCTGCGAAACAATCATATAAAGGCAGTTATGAACTTCTTTCGTAGAAAATTTGCGTAAATTCGATCTATTTTACCGTTTGAAGCTATTGAGGAGAATCTTGGAAGGTGTAATGTTGTATTTATACCTATCTAAACCATATTCAGCAAAAGAAGATAGAAAATTTTTTATTGATGATTTCCACCCTCTGCAATAGCGCAATTCATTTTTGAAAAAATAATCATAACTCCATCCTCGCTCGTTGCGCAGATGTGGAAAACAGTATTCGAACCAGCATTGAAAGGCGCATGTTTTATACACATACCATTATGAATGGCCGGGTCACCAAGTATCGTTCCTTGCCTAGACGTTTCCCATTTTAGAATTGATGAATGCCTTACAAGATTAACATTGCTTGCAACTTTCTAAAATCAAGTTTGAGTCGTTTTACGTATTTTTTCTTCCGGAATTTCGACTCCCTACCGCAGTACATTTTACACTCATTCAGCCCTGATAGGTTTAAGAGCACCCACTTTGATGGAGCAAAACAAGCTCTACAGTGTGCAAAAAATCATACTGAGATCGACCCAATGTAAATTTTCAAGCCAAACCCTAAAAAGTTTTGGATGCTAGAAAATGGAAAAAAACAGATTCTGTTTAAAGCGGATCCTATACCTCTCGAATTACGTATGTGTCCTTTACATCGGACATTCATATCAACAACTGCTGTGCATTACCATCGGTGAATGTCAAGAACCAGAATTTTCATACCTTTGCCACTGTGCTGGGCTGCTTACACCTAACCAAATGTACAGCTCTTTATAGATGGAGCTAGATAGTCAACCTTCCGCAAATTCAAGTTTTCAAAACATTAGGTTTAGCTCTTGCTTTTCGGGCTCTTTGTGATAAATTTGATAGTTGCAAAAATGAGCTCTTGGAGGAAGTTGAAATTTTACGGTTGTGCTTCTGAAGGGTTATAGTATGACATTACTTATGTGGGAACAGCACAGCATTGCTATGGCAAAAGCATGAATAATTTCATTTTCCGATTTCTAGCTGAGGAAAAGATACAGCAATTGTAATGACTGTCTGATGTGTCGAGTATATGCGTGAGCGAGTGGGAGATTTCTAGAAATTCTGAAGTATACCCGTTTTTCCCAACTTTCTAAGCATCCAGAACTTCTCAGACTGGCTTCCAATTACACGTGGATCAAACTTTTTGCCAAAATGTTAATTTAGTAGAGCTTGCTTTCTTCTATCGATTGCTATTCCGCAACCTATGCAAAGTATGTGAAATGCGTAACATATTTGGTGAATAATCAAAACTGAAAAACTTACGAAACAACTAATAGATTGTCTTGCATGAGTGTTTACAACCAAGCGAGTGCTCAACATGTACTAATGGTTCAGCTAACGGAACAATTGTATACTCATTTATTTGTGATTTATAAAGAACGAAAGTTTATTTATCTATTTATTTATATGTGATTGGTTTCCAAGCATAGCTCGGAGAAAAAGATTAGCTGTGAAAAAAACTCGTCTGCTCTTTGGAAATATTAAGTCGGTCCGAAAGTTTTGTCAGTTTTTTCATTCCATCGGCAAACACGCTAGAGTGAAGATAAACCAACACTTCAAAATTATTCGATGCAAAATTTCTTCTTCTTTCCAGCTGCTAAACTCACATTGTGTTTTGTTGCGAGAGTGATGAGATAATTGCTGAAAATTGCAACCATTCGTTTTTACCGTGTCTAACTTTCACTAATTTTCGAAATTTTTGGATGAGACTTTCGGAGGGGTTCTAATAACCACAAGATAGGGCAAACCTTTTGCCAGCTTATGCAATTTTTTACTTTATCTAGCTGCTTTTTCAGATTTTTGTCAAATGATTTTCTAAAAGTGTTGTGTCCTCTAAAAATCGCATAACCTGTTCTTGCACCAAACACTGCAAAACCTCCAAAAAACTGAGGTTTCAACACTCGATTATTACTACCGCTACCACTGCAAAGTAAATGAGCAATTTTTGCTTCAAATCATGAAGATTTTGACATAGGTTACGTCAGTGCGCACTCGTAAATTTCAGAAATACTCCAATTTTTCCCATAAATTTCGCCTGTCTCGGCAGAAAAAGATAAGTCTTAGAAGGAGGAAAAAAGCTGCATCGAATAGTGACTGGAGTGTTTAACATTTTATGTTCTACGAGGTTAAAATAGGCTGAATGTATAATTGGTCACTTCAAAAAATAAATCGTAGAAATTCTGAAAGACAAGCCATAGAGCTACAAAAAATTGCTTCTGTTGGCAAAAGGTTTGCCCTACCTGCTAGCTGTTAGGGCTCCTCCCAAAATCTCATACAAAAATTTTGAAAATTAGCGAAAGTTGGACATGGTAAAAACAGTGGTTGTGAATTTCAGCAAATATCCCGTCACTCTCACAGAAAAACACAATGGGAGTTCAGCTGATGGAAAGGAGAAGAAATTCTGCATTGATTACATTTTTGAAGCATTTGTTTATCTTCACTCTATCGTGTTTGCTGATGGATTGAAAAAACTGACAAAATTTTCGGAACAACCCTATAAATCAAATCTTGGCTGAGGCTGCTAATTTACAATTATTGTAGCAAGAAAGAGAAAGTTCGCAAGAGCAAGAGGAGCAAGGAATGTCAACTTCAGCCCAAACATGGAAGTCGTATTACCTGCACTTATCCATGCTGCCATCTTCCTGAGCTTGTTTATATCTTTCGCATGAGTTGTTTATACATAATGTAGTAAGCAGTATAATTATTGGCAATAGAATTAGTGCGATTAGTACAATAAATCCTGCAAATGCTGTCGTTAGTCAAATTGAAAAAATTGGAAAAGACTATGTTACACTCGATTCCTTGATTTTGCATCTTGAGCCTATCCTACCTTCGTTCAGCTGACACTGACAAATCACGCCAATCCCACTGTAGATCACATAGATTGATAGGAAGACAGAGCCGGCTACAAAACCAAGCGATAAAGCAGCCAAGAACACCATAGCAACCCATTTGAGTAGGAGAAGAACGAATATGAGCAGCCGGGACCCGTACCATTTCATGCAGTACAAAAGCGGGTTCTTTAAAGAATCAGCTGCCTTAGTGACTCTAAGAGGCAACTAAAACCTCTTCTTCATCACTGCGGCGTTCCGCTGATTCGTACAAACGTTCCAATAAATTCTTATGAGCAGTACCAGTAGCCAAAGTTACACTGAAGGTTAAACTCTAGCGAAGCTCATACGGCAAATATAAACGTACGGTCCATCGTTGTACAGATCATGGTGCTCCTTCTTGTCTTCTCTGATGATAGCGCTTATCCGGGTAGAAGAGCGAGACTTCCTCGAAGTTCGGCGCGATTTCGAGGTATCCGTGAAGAACCGTTCGAGTAACTGAAATCTGCTAGTTGCGGTGATGTCACAAGAAGGCGAAATGAGACCCCTCCCCGGTGCTCGCAAATCTCTATTCCGGGTGTGCGCCAGATTTGGAAAAGCCCCAGAGCACCAAAACGGGTGAGGTGGGAGGGCTCCGGAGCAATGAAGTGGCAGACCCCGGCATTTGGCCTCCGAAGGTATCCCTTCGGCTGTCTGAAATCCGGCTCTTGAAAGGAGTAATGATTGACACGAGGTTACTAGATTTTGAGTATTCATTGCATAAAACGCCATGATAGTTAGTGGTCCCATTTGAGCTTACGGACCAAAGTTCTAAAGGATTTTATATTAACGGCGCTTTTGATTTTTTTTCCTTGAAAAAAATTCCATAACTCCCCTCTCAGGAGCGCTTTGCAGATACCGAAAACAGATTTGAAATCAGCGTTCCAATAAGGCAGTGGCCAGCTTGTAAACGCCACTTCGACCAGGTATCCTTCTTTTGTAAGAAGCATTCGAGAAATTCAGAAGTATTTGCTAGGGTCAGAGCGCGAAACAATTTTTGAAACGGATGTATTCCAGAATAGCTGTCATTTAACGAAATTGAAGCCATGGCCCACCATGTGGGACGCATTGTCCCGCGTAAAAGTCATTGTATGACTAACTCACCATGTGTGTCATGTCGTCGTCAATGTATTAAACAAGCAATGGACAATTTCGCATTTCAAAGGATCAGGAGGTTCGTGGCAGAGCGCGGCAGCTCAGTTGTTCTTGCATGAGAATCTCTATTTTTCGCCGTTCCTTGTTATATTTCGCAGTGTAGTGTATCTCATCATTCGTTGTTAATGCTGACACAACGGTTCCATGCTGTTATGCTCGTTTACTTTTTTTCTTAGGTAACCTGGAAAAATCAAGCAACCAAAGGGTTTGCGTTATTAGTTCTTTTCCCGGTAGGTACCATAAACAGTGTGGTACGTGCTACAATTTCGAACCTGCAGTCTCGAGCTTTCCATTATCGTTAATGCTAGAATTCTGCATGTATAAATGTGTGTCCATGGACCTTAAATTGTTTTGCTCCGTAAACGTAAAACTTCGCTTCTGACGTAAATATTTTACAGACACTTGGTCATTGAAGCACACTTTTTTATTTGTTCACCGTAAAAACGGGACCTACTATTGAAAATGTACGATTGCATTGTTTTCAGGCTCAATAAGTAAAGGAGAGCTTAGAGGCATGGAACAGTCAGCATCAACAAAATTCTGATAGAGAACTTTCAACAGTTTGAAAGAAAGCAAGGAAGGACAAAAAATACAAAGAAACCGTGCGCAGATTCCAACTGATAGAGCCTGTCTGTGTCACTTTGCCCCAACGGTCTGCTCCGGTTGAAGTTCGATTCGTCCATTGGGTGTCTAGTGGGATCAGGACGACTATATCATACCATACTCTTTCTCTCAAGAATTTTATTCGTCAGTGTGTAAACTAAGAATACAGAAGCGAGCATTTATTCTATAAAGTGTTTCTGTTTCCATGTTTTTCATCGAGGCAAAAATCTCATCTGCTCCAAATTATGCAGGGGTCTTGGATTTGTCCACCCACTACATCCTGAGTCTTCAGCACTAAGGCTGACCTCGTGATTTGACTACGTTCCCTTCGACACACATGTCCATATCATCGTTATCTGTTTTACTGGATCTTGGCAGAATCTTTCATTTAGGCATTGCAGACGTAGTCTTTCAGTATGACACCTAGAGGACATTGTAGCATGTTTTTTTCATGACACTGAGCTTGCGCTCCTCGTTTCGGTTAGATAGGCCAAAACTCTCTGCCACTGCTGCACGGTTACCGGTTCGGTACAGGGATTTAGTTACACAACTCCTGTCAAGGCTCTCCATTTCACCCATGTTGTGTTCATCCTGCCTGCGACGTACTTTTGTAAGCCTCCTCCAGCTGAAATGTGATTATCTAGATAATTGCGTAGCGTTATCTTCTCTAGCTCCTCAGTATCGATGCTTATAGTACCTGGAGTTTTTTCCATATTTCCCTATATTCAGCCTTCTCAGCCTGGTGAGCTGGAATAATAAAACTTTGACCTGTATCGCCAGTTTTGTACCTGGTCGTGCAACTTCTTCTTGGTACATGCTGACGAGACCAGATCATCTACGTGGAGAAATGCCCAGGGAAGTTCACGTCTATCACGGCATTCATCAAAGTGATGGAGCGAGGAAGAAAGGACCGAACCTTGATGTACTTTAACCATGATGGACGCTTTTGTTTGCCTTGCAGATGTTTGCACGTAAATGGAGCGTTGTGACAGATCGATTTTAGCTATTGAAAAGCATCATGGTACTACTTGTTTCCATGTACCCTTTCGTGACAACGACACTTTTGCTAGTCATAGCCACTTGTTCAGGACTAGAGCCGAAAGCGGAGGCTGCACTCCCTTCTATTCGCTTCAGCTTGACGGCTAAAAGTTGAACGTCTTACGTTCAATGGGTTCTTATCAAAAAAACATTCGCGAGTTTTCTGGTGAAGCACCTAGACAAACTGTCACAGTCATTTTATTTGAGATATGAATCACTACGACTATCGTAAGCAGCAAGCATTGTCAGTGCCTAATCTTTCAATACTTCTAAAAAGGGCATGGAGCGGATTTTCGTTCATTTGGGAAAAAAAGTTCACATCACACGTTTATTTGTCGTTCTTACACTATTGCGAGTTCAGGCAACAGGTCAAAAATGCATTTTGAAGAGCATGGACAGCGAGGTGGGCTACCAAAATCTTCTTGGTTCATGTTGGTACGAGAGGTACAGCACCCGGTCTCTCTGGTTTCAAGTTAGTTTTCTTATTTGGCCAATGGCCATCCGCTCCTCAAACCCATTCTAACCTCATCAAGCGCGAAAGCTGCCCGCAGGGCTGATCCAGGAGACAAAGCTTAGGAAAATGAGAGTTTTATAAGAGCAAATTTCGGCACTCCCGAAGCCAATAAACCTGCTGCGTATAAACTATGCGCTAACAAAAAGTTGTACCTCTTCTGCTTGCAGTCTCTTTGATGGATCTTCCACTAATGTCGCATCCACCATGTCAGCTAGTTCTTTACTTGAAGTAGGTATCAAAGTATGGCTTGTGTAACTAAGTTGAGTGGTGGATTCGTGGTGATGAGCTTTCATAAGGGCCTACGTAGTGTAGGATAAGTCTAAAATTGTGTTCGAGTAACCCTACCTCATGCAGTTCCTGAGTTGAAAGTGACAAGAAGAGATCTTGAAATGGAGCACAGCGAGTGACCATTGCTACCAGTACGCAGCCAGCAGCCCTGATCACAAAGATAGTGCTGGGGTTTTCTCAATTCTTGTTCGCGTTACCAGATGTCCGTAGCGGGCGTTGCATTCTCCCATGATTGAGCCGTCTCGAACATTTCAGGGGCACAGTGAAGAAGTGTTCGTCGCATATGATTTTCATGTTTTGGAGCATCTATACTGGACCGCTTCCAAATTTAGGTGTTTATTGAAACCTCAACCCTTGCCTTATCTACCTCGCGGGCATTTGATCAGTTTTAATGCTCATACAGTGAGAGCACAATCAAGTTATGGATGAAGTCTTGTTTGAAAACTGCTACATTGCGTGAACGTTACTGTGGGGCTGTAACCAAGCGAAAAGACGGAGATTTCATGCGGTTCAAAGTCTAGTTCATAGCATTCATTATGCGAAGCTGAGTGAAAAATACCAGAGTTATAGAATGGGAATTATGACTTTGTTTCCTCCGAGCTACCCAGGCTCGCCAGGTGGCAGTAGGCCACCTAGATATGAAAACATTGCCATTTCTTCTTTTTATAATGCCTTCATCACAATTTGTATAGGCCAAAGGCGATCGCTAAATGACGCTAGTCGGCTTTAGGTGGTGTTAGTTAATAAGGTCATTCCGAAAGTAACTTCGCTATTTTCAAACGAACGCCACATGTGAAGGAACAAAGGTTTCTAAGAGATCTTGAATGCATTCGATGCAGAATTTCGTCCTCTTTCTAATAATTATTATAAAATTGTTGCAGCATACTCAATGAGCTTTCAGAAAATAACCAAAATCTGCGACCCATGCTTTTTGAGATGGTCATGTTTCACGATTTTTAAAGCTTTCGTATCAATCCTCAGAAGGAGTTCAAGTAACGATTCGATAGAGTAAACCTTATAGAATACAGTTCTACTTTTTTCTCTTCCTTGCAGCTCGCCATTATATTAGGTCGTTCCGAAAGTAATGTCGCTTTTTTCAAACGTACACCACACCTCGTGGAACAAAGATATGTAAGAGATTTTGGAAGCATATGATGCAGCATTTCATTCTCTTTCTAATAGTTATATAATTACTGTACAAAATCCAACAATCTCTCGAAAAATTATTTAAATTTGCGACCCATGCTTTTTTAGAAGGCCAATTTTCAACATTTTTTTAAGTTTTTATAACAACCCTCGGAAGGAGTACAAGTAATGAATGGATAGAGCAAACTCTACAGAAAACAGCACAACTTTTTTCTACTTTCCAGAGCTGGTCATAATTTTTGTACAGATTTTTTGATAGAACCACCGAATTTTAGCAGGCTCGTCTCAGACACAAATGCATCAGACACCAGTAAATCTTCGGATTTTGAAACTTACAGAAATGAAAAATGGTTTGACACTAATTTTACAAAGCAAATGAGCGTTTACCGCTTCAGATTAGCAACTTTCGCAAATTCCGGGTACAGCCTGAGGCGCCCTGGAAAACCTGAATTATGATGATTTTGTCCCGGAAAACTTGATGAATCGGAAACAAAAAACGACCGTTAGAAAGAGGAGAAAAAGCTGCATCGAATGACACCCGAGTCGCTAGCCGGTTGTTGTTCTGTGAGGTTTGACTTGACTAAATATGGAATTTGATGGCATTGAGAAATTGATTGTAGAAACTCTGAGAAGCAAGCTAAGGAAAAGAAAAAAAATTGTCTGTGTCCTATAGGGTTTGCTCTATCTACATGCCACTTGTACTTCTTCGGAGAATAGGTACAAAAAATTTAAAAAATTGCCGAACCTGACCATGGCAAAAAGCATGAGTTGCAGATTTTGTTAATTTTTCGAAAGCTTAATGAAAATTATGCAATGAAATTACAACCATTAGAAAGAGGATGAAATGCTGCATCGAATGCTTCTAAGATCTCTTGAAAATCTTGATTCCGTGAAATGTGGCGTTCGTTTGAAAAAAGCGACATTACTTTCGGAACGACCTAATATTTTTTTAGATTTTCTAACAGAACTATCGGATTTTGGCAGGCCCACCTCAGCCACAATCGCATCAAACATCATAATTTTTCGGGATTTGAGCCTACCAAGATGGTACTATGAGTTAGCATTAATTTTACAAAGCAAGTGGGAGTTTACGGGTTCGAATTATCAAATATCGAGTTTTTCGGGTACAGCCTGGGGCTCGCTAAAAAAATGAGTTATGATGATTTCTCCTCGGAAACTAAACGAATCGGAAACAAAAAACACCTGTTAGGAAGAGGAGAAAATGCTGCTTCGAATAGTGCGCGAGCTGCCTTTCTTTTGATGTTCTACGGATTTAGCTGCTCAAATATGGAAATCGGTAGCATCAGTTAAAATTCTGTTAGAAATGTATGGCAAGCTATGGGAAGGAGAAAAAAGTAGGAGTATAACCTATAAGGTTTACTCTATCAAACTGTTACTTGAACTCCTTCTGAGGAGTGATATGAAAGTCTTAGAAAATTGTGAAACGGTATGCTGGTATGGTATGCTTGTGGGGGGGGGGTGAGAGAGTTGGGCAATACTCCACCCATGTGCCCATGTGCCCTGTATACTTTGAAATATTCGAAATTTTTTTCGAATAATCGAATAATCGAATATATTCGAAGATCAAAAATGTCGAATAGTCAAATTTCAAATATTTTCAAAAAACATAAAATGTCGAATATCCGAATATCGAATATTTTCGATCAAAAATGCCGAATAATCGAATATCGAATATTTTCGAAATGAAAAAATCAAATATAATCGAAGATATTCGAGAAAAAAGTTCGAATAAACGAATACTTTGTATCGACTGTGTCGTACATTCAAGAAATTCTGATCGAATTAGCAGAATGAAGAACTCCGTGTAGTGCGCAACTTGAACAACAAACGATATTAGCTGATATGGCAATCAAAAATGTGACACTGACATGTAGCTATTCGATTACACGAAAATATCGAATAATCGAATAACTATTGAAAGTAGATATTCGAATGTTCGAATATATTCGAAAGTAAAAATTTCGAAAACCGAGTAATTGAATAATTCGAAGTTGAAATTTCGAATAAGCGGATATCGAATAAATTTTATTCGAATACTTTATTCGAATACTCGAATATTTATTCGATTCGGTTCAAAGTATAGTGCCCTGTTCTCTTCGTTCTTCGTCGATTGCAGGGCACCATTCCCTTTGATTCGACAGGATTGACGGCTGGAAGGCGGACTTCGAGGCCTAATCAAGGCTACGGAATAATCAGAGAACACGCTTGCGAGAGAGAAGCGGACTGCGTCGCGGGTGCGGGTGCGCCTTCCAGCCGCCAATTCCGTTGAATCAAAGAATACACAACCAAGTTTGTTCGCATCTCTTGGTTTGAGATTTGTATGATTCAGCGAATTCAACGCGGACATCATGACCAGGAAACACGTCCACTTACTTGGCAGGGAAATGTCCGTAACTTGAATATCACCAGACAATGTAACGAGCAGATTCGATGCTGAAAACGGGCTTTGAATTGCATTGTAAATTACTAAACATCTTACTTTTGATATCACCATGTGTGACGTTTCTTTTATGCAAGAAATCTAGAGCTTCGAGTAATTGGCAGAAAAACCTAGAAGTTCTTTTTATATAAATCTTGACAAAGGATTTGAAACTCACTTTGTCGCAGTGTTCTCAGCCAAGGGCGCCAATTTCAGTTGATCGGCAACAGCTCCAGTTGGTAAAAATGTGCGGAAGATCATTAGGCGGCCGTCACTCACGTGGTAGCCATAAACACTGCATAGCCGCGATTCAGACGGTGGAAGATGAGAATGATTAAAAAATTTACCTCCCAATCCGTTTATGCCTCAGAGTGGAGACGTATTCAAGCTGACATATGACTTCGTCCAGACTCTGGAACGTACGATATTTATTATTAGGTTGCCAGGAAAACTCTTCTTATAGATACCAAAATCACGCGCAAAAGCAAAGAGATGGTTTGGGATGCCTTGGTGCCCGTGGTACCTATCAACTACGCTATCCGTTAAAAACAATCGAAAAGGTACTTCCAAAAAGAGCAAATTGCGCTGGAAGCTGCGAAGGCACAATTTTCAGGTGTTAGACCCTAGATTTCGCAGAACCTTGGTTTCAAAATTTTTGATACTCTCCGTAATTTTGAAATATAGCGACATCCTAGTATTAGTTGCACCTTTAGCGCTCAAATCAAGGTCTTTGTTGATTCGATACGCAGCCAGCGCTCTTTGAAGAACATCTACAATATATCCTATCAGTAGTCTAACGTTGTACACATGAAACCAATTTATTCTATCTCTATTTTCTGATGGAGACAGAGATGAAATAAATTAGCTTGATCTTCATCGCAGAAATTCGAACAACCTAGTAACAGGGCTTAGCACAAGAGTGCCAAATAAATCCCTGAAACGAATGCTCCTTTGCGCTTTGATCATACGATTTCCCGCTTAATCGCATTGACTGCGCAAGCTGTTTGATTGGAGCGCCTTATTCCTTCAAAGCAATTCCTCCACAGTGCGCTATTTCGGACTCTAACAAAGCGAACAGAAGGAGATTCAAAACAAAATATTGATTTATCAGTATTTTAGGTGCAGAACAGATTTATATAGGAAATCTTGAAAATCAATGCAAAACGTTTTGCCTACCTTAGGTGGGCATTAAGTGGACAATCGCAGATCTAATTTGGAGAAAACTTGGGCACGTTCTATTCGCATGACTTTGTCATAATTTCTCATACCTTGCTCCGCAGTCCTACTGCGCGTACACACACCAAGTTTCTTGCCATATCATCATTTGTGCGTTTCAGTCACTTTTTTCATTTTGTGATAGAGGAAAATTTCGAGAAAAACGCTTACTGCACCTTTCAATCACATAATTTTTCACAATTTTTCTAATTTTGTTTCTCTCAGCACTTGTCCGTCTACATACCAAATTTGTAGATAATCTTATGTTGCGCCGTAATCGAATTATTTGTTTACTATTTGTGCATAAAACTTTTAGTTAGTTTTGCAATAGCGTCCTGAACACAATCATGTTTGAACATGTCAGTCGTTAAAAATCTGGTCTTCTCGGTGCTGAACATATCTGAGGGTTAGGTAATGCATACGAATCTGTGATTAAGATAACAACTTTGCTTTTTCACGTAGAATGTTTCCAGCCTGAAGTGACCCTCCCGCTGCGCGAGGGTGAATGTCAGACCGGAAATCTGCCTAGTAAAAAATTTCAAAAAACTGACAACAATGGAACGTTACCTTTTTGTCCATTGTTTTGATGTCCCACTCTACCACCGCATAATTGGCCATCGTTGTCTTGTTTATGTACTTCGACACAATACCAAACCTGGAGCGACCCTCGCTTAGCACTGCTGTAATTTAGCGTTAAAAAAATGACTAGCAAAATCTCGATAATCAATAGCTCTATCAGAATCTCACTTTAAGCTTTCAGACCAGTATAATTAATGTAGTGTATTTAGTGTATTTTTTACCAGGACAAAAAGATCTGGCGCTTAGATCAGTGGAATCTAAAGCGGACCTACATAGCTTGATCATATTGGCAACAACAATATCGGATAGTCTTGGGCATGGAAATTCATATGTAGAGCTGGGTGTACGCGATCGATTCGAACTCTTCTGAATGTCAACTTCTGCTAAAGACCTTGTAAATAATTATTCATTTCTTTAACCGTTGAGATCCTATAGAAAACTACTCCTCCACTCACAGTGCTTTCTTCATCGATTGACTTTTCTTCCACTTTCTCGGGTACTGCGTCTTCTAGCTTCAACTCGTCCTCGGCACTTACATGGCTGAATTTGATTCCTTGCAAGTATGGTGTATGCTTCCTGCTCGGGACAGAGGAAGAAAGTCTTCTAAATGCACGAGTGGGAGGGGCCTGTATAGGCGGAACTTCGTCGTCTTCACTCCACTCAGAATCTTCGGGAATAGCACTTGGAAGCTGTGTGCGAGGTAGCATCCTTGAGCTGCTTGTTAAAAAAAAACTCAAAGATGAATATCAAAAAGTTGCTGTACAATAAATTTGATTACAAATTCATGACAAATAGGCTTGGATTAGTTGAGGTGAAAAGAGTATGTATATAACCAAATGGTTTCATTCATGAAACATCAAGATCTGTGGAATATGCAGACAGTCCGGCTCCAAAGTGTTTGCGTATCGATCCTGAAACGTAGCTGATAAGGCTGTAGTTAGCGGAAGCTAGTAAACAGTGCAGTTCATCAGAGCACATTCGTGTTAGATCAAATTCAAGGAGTAGAAAACACTGTCAGTGACAAAACTCAATACCGATACAACAATTAAAAATTGGACAATTATACGAGTAAATGATTCTATTTTATTGTCCTTGACACTCCAAGTGTTTCTTTTTTATGCTCTTGCTTTGCACCTTTGCTAAAATCATTCTCAAAAGCTCCTTATTTTTTCGTCTTCCCAATATGCAATAAACATACACATCTCTGCAACTGAAAAAAAAACTTATTTTTTGAAGCACATGCTTAGAATTATTTGCCGTGAAATAGCAATTTAATTTGTTTACATGCGCGCCTTCATATACTTCATTTTCATGCGCCTTCTCTTCCCCTCTTCAGCCCCAGATTCGCATACTACTGCGCTTACATTGCTATAACGAGCATTGTCAAAACTAAATTCCTGAGTCGAAACAGGTTTCTTTTCCTATGCGACCACTCTGCTGATAACGTATGAAACAAAGGAACGAAGACCATCAAGGTTGTTCAGTTGCTCCTCTCAGCAGTATGTTCACAGCAGAGAGAAATGGCGAATGTTTCCACTTGCTTTCCTCTTTCTATTCTTGACTACGGCAACGCTTGCGTTCAGTCTTATGACCACGACCGGCCGAAAGCAAAATATGCAAGCACATTCCGATCATAATTTGCGCCTTCATGATCCTCAGGTGGTTGTGAGTGCTTGTCAGTTCGTTTGCATGGATGCTCTTTCCAAATAACCAACGCACAAAGCGCAACAACTATTCCTATTCACATAAACATGATCATATCCCGTCACTAGTCTTTAGAATAGTCTTCCATGCACAAGGCGTCAATATAATCATATCTATAAGCTATGAAGACTATGATCTTAATGACATCGTTTGACTTGCAAATTTCGATACTTAATCTGTAGCAGTCCATTTTTGTAGAAAAAATACTTTTCAACTGTATCTGCAATTAGAGTCTTATTAGGAAATGACGAAAGTAATACCGCATTTTTCAAATGAAAGCCACATTCTGTGGTACAAAGATTTCGTGGCAGACCTTAATTGATATGTTGCTTTTGTGCTTGACGTAGGCCTACAATATGCAGCAGGCCGTGTACATGCTGAAATTGGTAAACGATATGCTTTCCTGTTCTGGCAACGGGGTTTGCTGCTGCACCTGTGGGCTTGCCTTGTTGGGATTGTTGTGTATTCTGTCGCTTCACTTGTATAGGGGTGGAAGAACGAACATCTCAATTAGGCACCGCCTCCGCGGACTGCTGGTCCCAACACGATACACAACATTAGGAACCACCAGGGTCAAGCAAGGGGTGTGGCACACGATCGCTGGTTACAACCCCCCCCCACCCTGATTGCTGTCTTAATAAGACCCCCCCCCTGAATTATACACCTAAGATATCATTACCTGGAGGCCCTGTCAAATATAATGGGCAACAAGTCCATAATGAGCATGTCAATTAACCCCTGTAGACAAAGTTTGAGCGAATTCTGAAGATCCAAAATACTGAGTTACCTAAGTGAAATGGTCAGTATTCCAACATGATTAACTTTGTTTCAAAGATGAATTAGCCCTTCGTTTTTGCACTCAAGACAAAGCACTGCTCCTTCTTTGTCCATCTCAGAAATCCCGTTTCAAAAGACCTCCAAACTATGGAATTAAAAGCCAACCAAAATCTCATTTTTCCCATTTTTCGCTTTTGATGGCTGTGCTTTCACCGACTATTACTCAGATCAAAGAAAACGAATTAGGCTCAAATTACTCCCATGAAAACTAGGGGATCTAGGCTATCGATCCATATAAACACGGTTTGCTAAAAATGTTTTTGACATAGTTAATGGGGTGTGGCACACCCCCTTAAAAGCTGTGGCTGCCACAGCTCTTGAGGGGGTGTGCCACATCCCATTAATTATATCAAAAAAAAACATTTTTAGCAAACAGTATTTATATGAATCGATGGTTAAATCTCGTATTCCATAGGAATGTTTTAAGCCTGATTTGTATTCTTAGCTCTGAGTAATATTTGGTGAAAGCACAGCCATTGAAAGCGAAAAATGGGAAAAATGAGATTTTGGTTGGCTTGTAATTCCATAGTTTGGAGGTCTCTTGAAACGGGATTTCTGATATGGACAAAGAAGGAGCAGTGCTTTGTCTTGAGTGCAAAAACGAAGGGCTAATTCATCTTTGAAACAAAGTTAATCATGTTGGAATACTGACCATTTCACTTAGGTAACTCAGTATTTTGGATCTTCAGAATTCGCTCAAACTTTGTCTACAGGGGTTAATTGACGTGCTAATTATGGATATGATACGAATATATGTTATCACTGTTATCAGATTACCCAACTACGATCCCCCTCCCCTTTTGACTCCTCAATACGACCCCCCAGGTGTGGCGTGCCACAAGCCACGCTTGACCCTGGGAACCACCAGCCTCCGAAGTCGTGCTTAATTGAGGTGTTTGTTACTCTACCTCTTGTATAGGGCATCCGAAAAATCGTAAAGTGATGCGACCGCGCGCGACACGCAGCACCTTCCGGCAACCGCTTTTGGGTTTCATTATTACTCAAATGTTTTTTCTGCTTAAAATTGACGTGTGTAGTCATTAGAAGTGACTGAGCTGAGAGTTGAGGTAATGCCTTTTCGCATGAGCATTTTCTCTCCTTTAGGCGCAAAGACCGCAGTAAAACCCGTCGTCACGACTGTATAAACGACCTATACTTCTGTGTTCATGTTTAATTTTGTTGAGATCAAAAATTGGCTTACCAACAACAAGATGAACAGTGATGGTGCAGCTGTAGCTAGGTGTTAAAAGGTAGCCGTTGGTGCTTGCGCAGATGTGCATTTTAGGTGCTGCCTTTGCTGCTAATGTGGTTCTGTGCTGGAATGATATGGGCGGTTGAGCATGGTGGTATTGCAGAAGTATCTAAATGGTGGGTTGGTGGGGACGTTGGCGCTGCTGCTGTGGTTGCGAGAGAGGAATATAAAGTAGTATATCGATGCGGCTGAAAGCCGGGATTATTTTGGGTGGTGAGATTGGTGTAGATGGTAATGCTTTAGCTGTAGTTTTGAAGTGAACATGAACTGGTGTTTAGGTCGGCATATCCTCGGTCTGAAGTTTCTTCGCTGACCTGGTTTGATTCGACGCGCTGATTTCAAAAGTACACTTTGAAGAGCACGAAAATGTCGAAAACCAGCATTTTCCAAAGGTTCTCTTCTGGGGTTTGGATGAGTGACCAATGCCATGGCTAGAGACGTGTCGTCGCGGGACTCATTTTTATAACATTGCGGCATGCCCTTTGACGGTGGAAGGGGGACCGCAAACTCGTCCGAGCGCATGTAAGAATAGCTTGAGCGCACGGGTTTAGGAGCAGTTTTCTAGGCAGAGGCAGATGTAGTGCGCGCGGACCGGCTCTGTTATGATGTTTGAGATGCAAGCAAGCTTCCATATCGAAATTTCGAAATATTTGGTTTTGCCGAACTACCAACCATTTGCTGAAGCGCTGCCTTAAAACCAACCTTATACCGGTAACGTAGAAGATGTAGCAATTCGGTGTTCGACTATATTTGAGAATTTATTTAATATTCAATATTCAAAGGCAGCGTCCCACCAGACTGGGGATATCTGGCTCTCGTAGTAATGTAATAGTAGACCTACCTAATCGATGACTGAAGTTGAGCGAAAAAGGGGATCTACCATGCCTGAAATTTGCTCCGAAAGTGGTAAGAATCCTACGTTAGGCACGGGCGAGTACGAGGTGCATGCAGGGTAGAGACGCAGAGTGGTTGCGGGTCCCTGCGCTCATGATGTGTGCGCTATACGCACTCTAGCCCTGCAACTCGATATTGCCGTGTGGGCGGCGTTCCGCCCTACCGTAAGATTCGGCCCACTTTCGGAGCAAATTTCAGGCTTGGTAGACCCCCTTTTTCGCTCCGAACTTCAGTCATCGCTTAGGTAGGGATTTACTGTTACTTCATTACGAGAGCCAGGTACCCCCAGTCTGGTGGGACGCTGCCTTTAAGGAACCGTACGAAACCAAACATTATGCATACGTTTAATTTTTGGAGCACCAAAATTCCAAACATGCTTAAGTCTGACACCCATACTAATCCAGTATCTTAGTTATTCGCTGTTGATTTCTAATCATTCAACTACAAATACAAGTTTTAAACTTATTTAATTGGGTATTCGTAGAAAATAAAAGAAGTGCCCAGCTCATCATTGTTTGAGTGATTCGAATAGATATACTCGAATTTTGATTATATAACTTTTTGCACTTTCTTTCTTGTTTACGGCTACATTTACTTTTGATTTGTAAAATAAATTTGATAGCCAATCTATGTATTATAGACCTTCTTCTGCCTCAAAGATTTCAAGGCCCAAAATAGAAATCGAAGGCGTGAAATTCATGGGTAGCTGATGTCGTGGAATTATAATTATAATTTCGTTGTGGTAGCTGTAAATTCATAGGCACAAAGTTTGCTTTCACGTGACAGTGCGATATGCGCACTCATAAACGGGGAGCTTTTTGGTCACCATGCATTCTTCCCGTGAAACTTTCACATCGTGGAAAATAGTTGTAGCCACAGTAAACTGCTACTCGCTCGAAGTTTACTAGGTAGGTTTCTAGTGGAGAGAATGCTAAACATGTGGAACCGGCTCCCAAACCGCGGTGTAAATTTTCCTCGGTGCTAGTTCGCAAAGATTTAGGTCAAATGGCCATCATTAGC